CCTAGACCTGTAAACTTCGGACTGATTTTGAGTTCCATACCTGAGCTCTAGAGCAGCTACCAGTGCTATATAGTTGTGCCTGTCGTCTGCTGACAACTGTCCAAGTATTTCCAGTGGTTGTCCCTTCAGGCTCGTTGCCAGATATACTGCTTTCTGTTCCTCTGTCCATCCATTCATTTCTGCCAGTAGCTCAAATTGTGCTCTATATGCTTCCCATGGTGCCTTCCCATCGAATTCTTGTGGCTTCCTTCGTACTCGATCACCCTTATTGTTTTGTCTAGATTGTGACTGAAAATGTCTGCATTAGGATTTAGCTGCGGGGTCTGGAAGGGGCTTCCTATTGTCTGGGACTAATTAGATCCATGACTAATATATCCTCCCTGTGTAAAAGATAGTAAATCGTCCTTTAATGTATTTAATTCACTTTGAAATCTATTAATCTTTTCCATTTGTACTTGTTGTTTCCTTTCTTGTTCCAGTTGCCACTGGTGCTGGTTTTCTTGTCACTGCTATAGTCTCTCTTCTTGTTCATTTTATTTCTCCTCCAACCACTGCTGTAGTCACTCTTCTTGTTTATTTTCTTTTTCTTCTAACAACTGCTGTAATCTCTCTTGTTTATTTTTCTGTTCGAGCTGCCACTGTTGCAGGTATTCTTTCCACTGCTATTGTCTCTCTTCTTGTTTCTTTTCTTTTTCCTCCAACAACTGCTGCAATCTCTCTTGTTGTTTCTTTTTTTTCTCCTCCAACCACTGCTGTAGTCTCTTTTCTTGTTTATTTTCTCGTTCTTTTTGTTTCTTTTGCTGTTCTTGTATTGCTACCATCAAATCTGATAAGTCGTAGTTTGATTTGCCACTTCTCGTTTCCTATTTTTTTCTTTTTCCGTCCCACTCTCTGACACCAGTTTGTTGTGTGTATCTGCTTGTTTGATAATTTCCGGTAAAAATTCTTTCTGAGAAACTTCAGCAATACAAGTCCCTTCTTGATTAAAACTAGTTTATTCTTTCTCGGTAGAACTTTTTAATACACTTAACAACTATTATAACACACGCTATAAATCACAGTGATTCACACACTTTACTTAGGGTGCCTACTGTTCTCTTGACTCAGTTATCTATCTCTTCAATCACGCTGGTTTTTTTCCTTCATGATCCTTCGAGAAACTCCAGCGCGCATGCTCCCAGAGTCACGTGACTTCCGCTATCGTAACAATATGTAATCAGTGATATCCTGGTAAATGATATGTAAAAAAGATCGTAAACGTATGTTAAATCTATATTCCAGTGAAAAGTTGTATACTACAACCATTGTTCTTTAAAACTTTTACAGAGGTTGAGTAAGTTATATAAAACGATGTCGGGACCTTAATCACGTCGCTACAGTCCATGTCGTTACGTTCGGTCATGTTACATCTGATGTTCTATATCTTGATAATAGCCCTGCAGCATAGTTTGTACTGCTACATCTGATGTCCTATATTTTGATAATAGCCCTGCAGCATAGTTTGTACTCCTACATCTGATGTCCTATATCTTGATAATAGCCCTGAAGCATAGTTTGTACTCCTACATATGATGTCCTATATCTTGATAATAGCTCTGCAGCATAGTTTGTACTGCTAAAAGTTTCGCCGTAAAGCTTTCATGTCCAAAGCAAATCACTCCTCCCTACAACTTTCCATTTTTCATCTAGTGCATGAGCACGAAGATTTCCCACTGCTCGTGTCAACAGCCTGATCGATTATAAATCAATAAGTTTTGCGTTAAGCGACTTTACCTACATGTCTCGTATGGAGTAACATGAATGCTTGCTCTATTCTCCAGTTACTTGATGTATGTGATGATTGAAGAGATATGTCGTAGAAACAATTTGTGTACATGTGATCTGTGCCACTTTTCCAGATGAGATCTTTCGTGATTATAATTCATAGTGTTGCCTGGTTCAAGTGGACGGTTTTTACTACTAATCTTTGTGTTTGTGGATTCTCAACTGTCACAAAAGGCTGTATTTTACTTACCACGGTTGGAGTATGAGTTGATGCAGGACTCTTTCTGGTTGATCCTGGTGCTCAAAGTTGAACCACATTCCATTATTTTCCAATGCCATTAAATACAAGGGATATCCCCGTCCTGGAAAGTTTAAATCCTTGAGTCTAACACATATTTATGATCTGAGAGTATGAATATCTTGCGTCTTATAGGGTGTTATATACACTTCCCAAAAGCAATCAGTTTTGGTGGTATCACAATGTATAAATGTAGGTCTGATATGTTTTGTTCCACCGTGACTTTATATCAGTTGTGTTTAACACGTGACTTGTTGATTTATATATCCAAAATCTTTTTCATACAAAGTACTCAGTCCTCTGTAGTATGGAAGTTGTGAATCCTGTGATGATATCAGAACTCAAATGACTAGCGTAGCTTTATCTTATTTCAGTAAATATAATTTTCGATATAAATCTGCTTATTATAGTCATAAAAAAATCTTCGTAAAGTAATAGAATAATTATAATAAAACCTGATTAGGGAAAATATAGGAATATTGAATAAAATGTATTAAAATAGTAAAGTAGAGAATATTGTGATTGATACAATAAAGTTTGTTAACTTGAAAACAGAGAAACCTTTCTTAACAATATTGCTATACAATGACAAACACATATCAATTGTGAAAAATCAGTTATGTAAGTCTTCTCGTATAGCTTAGTCACAGATATATATTTAACAGTTGTCTTAAGGATTTCATTAGTTCAAGTTGAAAAACCAGATATTGTTATTAAAATCGTTTAAGGTAGTATATGTTTTTAAATTTCCTAAATATAGCTCTAAGCATATTGGATCAACCATTATAACATTATTAAACCAAACACGAATGAAAACGTGCAAATTTGATGAACAATAACAATCCAAATTTACGAAATCACGCTTTCAACGATTGTGACGTAACAGTGCATATAGCTTATTTGTGATTCTTGCAAGAGAAACAGTTGTTGTTTAAGCGCAAGGCTATCGGCACTCTGTATACGGAAAGAAATCGAACCTCGAACTTTGTCGTATAAGTGCACATACAATAAGTTGTTGTTGCTTGAA